TTCAAAGTAAACCTGCTATTCTAGACCACCTTTCCTTTTTTTAAAGTCAACGAAGTCCTCTTTATGAATCGCAATTAGCAAACCTCGTTATGTCTTCTTTCATTTTCTAGGCCCACTGCTGATGTCTTGATAACACAAAGAATCAGAAAGGTGCTCGATAATAAATCTATAACAAAAGCGCTTACATTAAATATCTCAAAGACCCAACCCACATCCAAAACATTGATCAAAGGGGTCGGCAAACCTTTTGGTAACTACGTGCCGACTTAGGGTTTTAAAATCATTCAGTGTGCCAACAGCATATGTATTTTTTTATACAAGCCAAGTTCAATCTACCTGTTCTACAATATATTTTATATAGTAATATATAGTATATATACTTTAGTATATATTAAAATTGAAACAGCTAAATATCTTCTTTGTATTGTAGTAGTTATTGGTTCGGACTTCGTGATGTCATTTGCGGCTGCGTGCCATTGAAAATTGCTTTGCGTACCATGTGTGCTGTAGGTTACCGACCCCTGAATTAAATGACGAAATACCAGAATCAATCTCCTGAGCGATGAGCAGTATGAGTTTCATTTTTCTACGCCCACTGCTGATGTCTTGATTTTACAAAGAATCAGCAAAGCACTCGATAATAAATCCATAACAAAAGCGCTCACATTAAATATCTCAAAGGTCCACTTCCAAAAAATTGATGTCATTTGCGGGTGCGTGCCATTGGAAATTGTTTGGCGTGCCAAGCGTATGTTGCCGGCCGCTGGATAAAGTAACCAAACACAAGAATTTTTTTGAAGGGTTGTTTGCTTAATTTGAGAACTTTTCAGCACCCACTTCATATATGCATATTGTTTGAAAGTATTTGACATATGTTCGGGTAGATGTCAATGACTAGTGTTCAATGTTTATTAATACTTGCCCTATCTTCAAGAATGGATTAGAGAATCTAATCCCCTTTTCAATACTGACCCATCACTCTCCGCAGTGTCATCAGTAAACTCTTTGAGTTTGACCAGCAAGAAGATTGGTGATCACCTCAACAGACACACTCTTGAGCGACAAGCAGTATAAATTTCACACTTCTATGCCCACTGCTGATGTCCTGATAACACAAAGAATCAGCAATGTGTTCTATAATAAATCTATAATAAGAGCTATCACATTAAATATCTCAAAGGCCTTTGACAAGGTGGAGTATAGGGGTTCATTACACAAACTCTTCAGCTATGGACTCTCAGGAAGAGTCCTTACAATCATCTAGTCCTTATTATCAGTAGCCCATTACTTGGTAACTGTTAATGCTCAGGCTTCTGAAGCCCTTGAGATTAATGCAGACATCACACAAGGCTCACTCCTCGGCCCTAACTTCTTTCTGATTTTTATTAAGGATTTGCCTAAGAACATCCTCAGGCCATTAGTCATTAGTCACGGGTGAGAACTACGCCATTCTCCAAAAACGACGGCTCTGCTAGCTTGGACATGTATCCCGTATGCCAGATGGGAGGATTCCAAACGTATTTCTCTACGGTGAATTGGCCACTGGCAAGAGAGCGACATCATCTTCGCTTCAAGGACGTCTACAGAAAGGAGATGGACATGGATATCAAGAGGTTGCTATTGATCGCTCACGCTGGAGACATGATTTACACTGAAGGCTTGAACGAGGAGAAGAGAATCGTAGGCTTGCCGCTAGGGAGAAGCATGCTTGATAGAAAGAAAACGACAAAGCGATGTCAGAGGAGAGCGTCTCCCCATGCATTCACTCCAACTGAGACTGTCACTCCCGTGTAGGCCTGTACAACCATAACAGATTTTGCACCGCCATCAGCATACACTCTGTATATATGTTACATAACCTTTATCTAGCATATCTGTATACAAAATAGGTTCTTCTGGCCACCGGCAAGAGGTTTCGAAGGCGATCTCATCTTCGCTTCAAGGACATCTACAAAGGAGCGATGAAGGCGATGGACAATGACATCAAGAGATGGGAAGACGTCACCAACGATCGCATACGCTGAAGACGCGATTTACACCGAGGGTTGCAGCAAATAGAAACGAACTCTGGTAGAAGCGTTCTCGATGGAAAGAACAAAAACACGGCGACATCGGGGGGAGAGCGTCTTCACATGCATTCATTGCAATCAAAACTGCCACTCCCGTTTGGGCCTGTACACACATGACAGATGCTGCGCCACAATCTAAGCGCAGATCCATGGGGTCTCCTGAGACGGATGGATGCCACATATATACCAGATTGACAGGACATATATAATGGATAGCCTTGCGTCTTAGAGGCATTATCGTCGGTCTTTTGGACAGGAGTAATGGTTTATCCCTTGTTCCTATTTAGGATTAGGTCTCCGGTTCTTCCTAAAGCCTTCTTATTCTCTTTCACTCCCAGGAGCCCATTGCGTCTTAGTGGCATTATCACCTTGCTTGGTGTGAAGTGATTAAAATAACAATAAAAAATAGTGGGAAATTTCTGCAAAAGAGACATGAGGGTGATGAACATAGAGGGCGGGAGCAAAAATCATACCATTGGAACAATTGATGATTATTATGAAATATATATATATATATATGTGTGTGTGTGTGTGTGTGTGTGTGTGTGTATAAAGACATTTTTATGTTTATACATTCTTTTTTATAGATACAAATATTTAAGTAAATGATCTGTTTATAATAAACAGTATTAAACAACATTTACCGGCCTAAATTATCTTAATATATATATATATATATATATATGTGTGTGTGTGTGTGTGTGTGTGTGTGTGTGTGTGTATGGACAATGGGTAAATTTAAAATTTATTTAGTGTTTATTAAAAATCACCATCACAACGAAATACAGATTTTATCACAGTTACAATAAGTTCGTCTTTGTAATTCACCCCAAGGAAGATCTTGGAAGAGATCGAAAGTACTTGGATAGTAAAAAACTACGGCACCTTCCGTGAAGAATTTCATCTTAACAACAAGAAACTGAATAGAGAACTGGAAAGGACCAATAAGTCAACGCAATATGTTTTTCCAATTTTTGGCGCTGTCAGAACCACCGCAAAGTAATTTTACGTAGTCCTGTGAAGATTTGTTGAAATCGGTTGAAAAATGCAGGAAATCCGATCCAATATATAAACGTACACACACACACACACACACACACACACACACACACACACACACACACACAACCTAGGTTTTATAATAAGTATGATATATATATACTTTACGCTCTGTTATAAAACAACGATCACTGCTTCATTAACACCAGTGCTTTATATGTAATTCATATATATATATATATATATATATATATATATATATATATATATATATATCAGGTAAAATGAGAACAAATGGAGTATAATTCAACTGTCCGTAATATTTAATTTAAAAGTTGGGTAAGCACAAAGTAGAGCTAAATACTATTTTTTTAGGATATTAAAAGAAAAACATGTTAAAAATCGCTAAACAATTGCAATTATGTTCCAACACTACAAATGTGTCTCCTCTAACGATAATAATCTACTGGCATGTGCTCGCCAGTAGTTGTATATATATATATATATATATATATATATATATATAAAACCTTTGAATAGATCTTATCTCGGGAACTGACTTTTTAATGTCTATTTCTTTCTATTCGGCGTATTTATCTATTGGACATTGAAGATAGTTTTAACGTCCTTCTCCAATCTTCGTTCTTCGTTATCAGAATTTAAACTGTTGTATTCAGATTGTTCGAAAAGTCACAAAACAAAACTAGAAAGTAAAAATGACAAAAAAAAAATTGAATAAATAAATAAGCCAAATTTAGCATTTTAACAAATTAACATTTTCTTTTTGAAAAATCAACCTATTTATTAGTGAAATCCATCATATAAATACGCCATCATTTTTTCTCCTTCAACTAAATAGACTAATTTCGGAAGGACACGAAATAACACGAATGCATCGAATGTCGTCTGCTACTCGTCGTAATGACTGAAATTTTTAGACGTTCGACACGAGACAACATTTGCTTAATATGTCAGACACGTTTGTTTCGCTGGAAAATTACGATCATTTCTTTTTTAGTTGCTTTAAATCAAGCCGTCTATATGCAACGAAAACTAGCAGTTTACATTTTTATTTCAAAATTATATGTCGGAGGAGACTGGAATCTTAGTATACTGAGACATTTATTTAAACAACGAAAAATATATATTAGCTTTTATTATATAATATCATATTATATAAGAAGAAATAATATAGCAATATTACATTAAACAAATCCATCCAAACTTTCATTCGCTCTAATGATTCCATATCTAGAGATATAGCAAATACTAAAAGCATCTATAGAAATTCATTGCAAATAATTTTACTATAGGAATGCATTAGAAATGATTTGAATACTAGCTCTTTATGGAACCTGGAATATTATGGCTAGGATTTATGAAACAAATCCATCCAAACTTTCATTCCCTCTCATGATTCCATATCTAATGATTCCATATAAAAGTCTATAGAAATTCATATAGCAAATACTAAAAAATGCATTAGAAATGATTTGAATTTGAACCTGGAATATTATGGCTAGATTTATGAAACAAATCCATCCAAACTTTCATTCCTCTCATGATTCCATATCTAGTGATATAGCAAATAAAAAAGCATCTAAAAATTCATTTGCCTGTAGTAATGCTAAAAATTATTTACTTGGAACCTTATTATTGGATTTATGAAACAACTTTTTTCTTCCCTCTAATGATTCCATATGTTTAGCAAATTTTTGCATTAGGTTTGAATTTCTAAAGCCCAGGGAATGTAAATAAATCTAAAACACTTGCCTGTGTAGCTAAATATTATTTCATTGATTAATTGATTAATTTTCTACTGTTTACCAACTTTTTGCAGGTTATTTAAAGCCAGAAAATATTTTAGCTTCCAAGAATATCTTGGAGATAATCATGATTTACGGAGACAGCTTCTCCTAATTAACTAAGTCTTACGGTCACATCACGTTCAAATACTCGTTCCAATACGTTCACCGAAGTTAAGCAACGTTGATCCTGGAGAGTACCTAGATGGGTGACCGCTTCGGAATGTCAGATGCTGTAAGCTTGCAAGCAGATGGTATAATGGATAGTGGCTCGGAATTGTTAAACGGAGAGCCGAGTTCCAATTCCATTCAGGTTCATTATATTCACTTCACTTACGCTTGGGTATATGAGTCTATCTCTCCCCCCCCCAACTATGGGTTAATTAGTAAGATGTGACGTCGTCCCCTGGTCGCAGCGCCAACTGTGACGTTCTATCCTGGTCTACCACGGTACCAACTGTGACGTCCCTAAACAGCACCAATTATGACGTCCTCGCCGCGGCGCCAGCTGTTCGCTCCTCGCTGCTCCGTTTGGGTGTCGCTGCTCCAAACGTAACGTCCGCCTGTCGCGTCAGTCGTGTTGTCTCGTCCTGTGACGACCAACTGGCTTGGTATCGGTCACGGCACCCAAATGTGACGTTCTAACCTTTTGGTGATTCTGGTGGGAATCTGGTTAGATTTGATATCAGCCTCGTCGTTCCCAACTCGCTTCCAACGCCTGGTTACCAAGGTAACTGCATAGATCTCTTTATGTCTAGTTGTTCGATACATAGGACTGCATCTATCTCCCGACCCGTTCTATGGACTGTGACACGTCGTTTTCCGTTAGGCGAGTTTTAACGCTTCAAGTTGTTTGCTCTCTAAGAAATTGGTTTTTCGGTGTGTCTTTGGACGAAATTCGAAAAAAAAAAAACTTATTGTGGTGGTCTGGATCTAAGTCGCTCTTCAAAATAATTGTTCTTGGGTTGAAGAGGAGTCCGGAATTTGCGTGAATCTTGGTCAGCTATCTGCGAGGCAGCTTCAACTGGAGACTGACTCTTCGCTGCAACTCCAACTCAAACTGAAATTGGAACTGGAACTTACTGAAACTGATTTCTCCTCGTTGTGGCTTCGCTTATATGGACGCCGACCAAAACCGGGGTGGGTCTGTCGGCGTCGGGGTTTCCTCGATAATTCTAAATACATATCCACCTCTCTGGTTAAGAATTTCCACTTTTTTCCATTTTGGGGAATCTTTCCTTACTCCCACCTTCTCACCATACTTAAGAGGGGCGTGAACTGCCCCCCCCCCACTTCTTCGTAGCAGCTTCTCATACCTATACTCTGGATGAGGCGGCGACAGCCTCCTTCGTGCGTCACGTGATCACCACTCGACCAATGATGTCTTAGTCGGGCGTGGACGAATCCGCGGCTTTGTTTCAGGGAAAAAAAATATCTTGCTTAACTAAAAAAAAATATCCCCTCTTTTCCTTTTCTTCCTCTTAATCGCCGTTATCATTTCTCTAGCCGCAAACGAGACAATATGAACAATGGCGGTCATAACTCTTGTTCTACACGTGGTTTTCGTCAATTATTTTATCGCCAATTATCAGAATAGGTGGTCTTCTTAAAACGTCGCCCCGAAAAGACATTTCTAAATTCCCATTCATTCTTTGGCAAACATTTCTTGATAACATAATTTTATTATCGCAGGCATAAAGATGTTCCGTCGAAAGAATTCGGTCAGTGGACAGTCGTGCGTGTGGCTTTGATACAATTAATTTTTCCTATCTACCCAAAGTCCTTTTAGTTGCCTGTTTTTCGTCACTTATCGAAATAACATTTTCATTTGAATTTTTCTTTGGCCAGTCGGTCTGTAGTTGATAATAAGATGCCTTCCCGTACCAATAGTTTGTTTTCATATCCTTAGATAACACAGCCGTCGCCAAAACATATCTGATTCTTTCTTTCTTTTTACTCATAATTTCACAGTCATTGTAATGACACCCTTTTCGCCATTTGTTACTTATCAAAATATCCCTTATCCATTGTCTCTTAGCCGTGTGTGTGTTCTGCTTATCACCCACGATTCGTCTCGCCTCTCTTTCTGCCTTCTTTTTTTTCTTTTCTTTTTCTGCCTCGTTAAATGGTGCCACAAAGACTTGTATCACTAAAATAATTATCCAAAAATAAAAATTAGATTTCGGCATGAAATAACCAATTGAAGTTGATATATCACAAAACAAAAACTACTAATTAACCCATATCTGGGGGAGGAAAGACGTATTCACACCTTTTCCAAGGATATTTGTGCGTAAGTGAATAATAATGAACCCGGCTGGAATTGGAATTCTGTTCTCCAAGTTCTAATTTCGAGCCGTTATCTATTAAACCACTCGCACATCCTAGGTAACCTGGTATTACCAAGCGGTCACCCACCTAGGTACTATGCAGGCGCGACATTGTTAAATTTCGGTGATCGTGCAAGAACCGGTGTTTCAACGTGATACGGCCGCAAGACTCCTGAATGTGTAAAGATGATTATCAAACGAGATACGCAAGAAGAAAGCGAAGGCTGGGAGAAATGAGATTTATGTTCGAAACAAGAACGGTCATTACCTTCACATTGTCAATGGCGTTACATAAAGAGTTATAAAGCGGCGTAAAATGCTGGCTATACAGTAGACTCTTGACTGGCAAAGGCTGCCTTTTTTTGTGAAGTGTTCAGCTTCTCTTTGCCAAAAGTAGAACTGCATCTACGTAACAGGTCATCTGTTGAAGGTGTTACTTGACAGGCCGGGTTTCCTGGGTTATGACGATAAACTATATCCGCGTCCTGGGTTATGACGATAAACTATATCCGCGTCCTGGGTATGACGATAAACTACATCCGCGTCCTGGGTAAGACGATAAACTACGTCCAACAGCAAGGCCTCTGATCACTAGGTTTTGAGGAGCGTGGAACCACCTCTTAATTGCTGGTGTTCCCAGGTCCAATCTGGTAGCACCTGTTAGGGTCCCAGCTATGGGCAAATAGTTAACCTCGAAATTGAGGTAAGAAGCATTATAAAAGTGTAAAAATTGGTGCTTTATACCAGAAATACTTTGTAAAAAATTATTACCAGAAAAAAATTTAAAAACACTATTACCAGCAATACGTTTTTGAAAAAAAAAATATTACTAGCAATACGTTTTTGAAAAAAAAAATATTACCAGCAATACATTTTTGAAAATAATATTATCAGCTGTACAATTTTGAGGAAAAAATATTAACAGAAATAGATTTTTGACAAAACAAAAATATTAGCAGGAAAAGAAAAAAAAATGTTGTCGACATTAAATGACCCATTGAGGTTGATATGCTGTAAAAAAAAAACAAAGCCAACCAAACCTTGACAGGCCGGACTCCTAAAACATGAAAGCTTATTGCGTCAGAATGCAACCTGATCATTCTTGTTCTAACTGGCGGACTTTATGTTGAACAGGAAGACCCGTTATGTTGGAAAATGTCATCCAATGAATTAATAGCACCCCTTACGTAAAGGCCTCAACTATGGCACAAGCTTCTTTTTCTATTGAATGCCTCTGTTTATTGCCAAAGAAAATACGAGCAAAGAACGTAACAAGACGTCCATTCTGAAATTTATTGCGGCAATTATGGCGGCATATTCAGAAGCATTGGCTTCAGCAGTTACAGAACCGGTTGTGTCAATAGATTGTCAAAGAATTAGCAACGTCTTTCATTAGAGCAGTGAATTTTACATTGATTATATTAGTATATCGTTGCTGTAATAAATAAATGAATGCGTAATAAATAAAATAATAAGTTATACTGCAATAAGCAATATTAAAAACAAAAATTGGTCAAGGCTAGAATCCTGGGAAAAAATTCGAACTTGCAAAGAAGATATCCTAAAAAAAAAAAAAACTCAAGCTTAAATATCTCATTAAATTTTAAGATATAATAAACAGAAAACAGAAAAAAATAAACAGAAAACAGAAAAAATAAATAAACAGAAAACAGAAAAAATAAACAGAAAAAATAAAGAGAAAACAAAAAATAAACAGAAAAAATAAACAGAAAAAATACACAGAAAACAGAAAAAATAAACAGAAAACAGAAAAATAAACAGAAAACACAAAAAAATAAACAGAAAAAAATAAACAGAAAAAATAAATATGTAAATTTTTTAAAGAATTTTAATTGTCTTTTTATTCCAAATTATATAAAATTGTTTTGTTTGTGTTAATAAACAAATTATTAAATGAAATCTTTCTTATGATCTTTATTTTTAAACAAGAGTAGACGTCTATTCCTTGTTTCTAGTTTAAGATTGGTTTACCAATTCCTTCTAAAGTCTACTTCAACTCTATACTCTATACAACGTTTCTAATTATTATGTCCAAATAAACATTACAGGGTGCGATGGATATATTGTCGTCTAAATGGCACAAAACTGAAAATAACACTGACATCTCGTTTTAACAGATATATTTACCAAAATTACACAAAAATATCTTGAAATACTAAAGAGTAAGTTTATTCAATAAAATCACCATTGGCTTCAACCACGGCTTCCTGACAACTTTGGAATCTCCTGCAACTCTTCTGGACAGTCTCCTTGTTTAAGTTGGTGAATGCTGCCATAATCCTTGCCTTCAGTTCATCTTTGGTATTACAAGGAGTTTTGTTGCTCTCTCACTCAACTGTGCCCCACACATAATAATCAAGGGGGTTGCAGTCTGGGGAGTTAGGTGGCCAGACGTAAGGGGTGATGTGGTTGCCACTCGATGTTGACCTCAATGGACACTTATATATATTTTACATACAGACATGTTGGCTGCTATAAAAAGCTCATCTGCCCTTTGACAGGTTTTGTTTTTCATTCTGGGGGGGGGGGTGATGTGCCCCCCTCTCCTTACAAGCAGAAAATCCAGTGGAGGAGAGATGGTAATAAATTTTCGAATTCAGAAATATGAGCAAGTAAGTAATGGACAGTTGGTTGTTTTCAAATCTGTGTCACTTAATTTGTTTTAGTTCAACTAATCACTTACTTTTAAAATGTATAGGCTGTGAAGGATGAACTGTCATCTAAATTACACATAAATGAAATTAACACTGACATCTCATTTTAACAGATATATTTACCAAAATTACACAATAATATATTGAAATGCTAAAGTGTAAATACATTTAATAAAATTGCCATTGGCTTCAACCATGTCTCGCAGACAACTTTGAAATCTCCTGCAACTCTTCTGGACTGTCTACTTCTTTAAGTTGGTGAATGCAGCCATAATCCTTGCCTTCAGTTCATCTTTGATGTTACAAGGAGTTTTGTTGGTCTCTCACTCAACTGCGCCCCACACATGATAATCAAAGGAGTTGCAGTCTGGTCAGATGTAAGGAATGATGTGGTCGAAGAAATGGTCTGACAGCTATAATTGTGTTACTCAGCTTGTGTGGCTTGGTGCAGAGTCCCGTTGCCGGACATAGGGTCTTCCAGCGGCCACCCTCTTGACCCTGGGCAGCACTACCTCCTCAAGGAACTTGATGTAGGCCACGGTGTTGAGTCTGAGGCCTTAACCGACAAATTTGAGAGTTCTTTTCTTATCAGAACGATCTGAGTTTTCCTAGCTGCCGTAACTTCGTAATCACCATTAGACTCATCTGTAATGGATCTAGGAAGGTTGCGTGAATATTTAAGATTGTACTACAAATAAAATATGCAATATCCACAAACATAAGAAATGGCCAAATGGTAACGATATTCAGTCACGACAAAAATACATATTTGATACAGCAAATTAAATTTTATATACACAATTTAGAATTTTTTTGTTTGTAATGGTGTGTGCAAAAGTATGTTTAAGAGAAAAAGTTCTTTGTTGTTTCGGAAATGTTCAATGTCGAAAAAGTTGTTTGGCTTTGATTAAAAAGACCAAAAGATGGAGCATTGCTATCACATGTGGGCTGGCGCTACACAATCTTCACATTTCGGCCTTGATAGAGTTCAAAATCGTTTACGTGAGAGATACTTACTTTTCACTTAACAGCTTCTTTCCCCAGAGACACGACTCCTAAGTTTAAATGTTTAGATGAACGCTCCATTCTTTTGTTCCACCAGTTCAGAACTTTACAATTAAGACGTTCCACGCGACTTCCACGAAGTCAAATCATCCTCATATCTCCCGCGTTCCAAATGTAAAAGAAAATCCCTCTCAGACAGTTTCCCGACCCCAAAACCTGCTACTTTGTGGAACAGACTCCTGCGTGGATACTTTCCAGAACATGTCAGGCTTTTAAATGAAAGATCAATCTTTATCTATTATCATTATCCTCATAATGTTCACTTCTCCCCACTTGCACTTATATCATATACCCCATTCAGTAGCACTCTATATTGAGTGTCTCTCGAGCCTTGTATTGGGTGAATTTTAGTATAATAAAAGTTCTTATTCCCTATTTTCATCAGTTTCCTTCCTATTTCCATTTTTTTCTTGTAAACGTCATATTTTTCTTTTTCTCTGTATCTCTGAGATGATGTAGGAGACCCAAAGAGTTGTGAGTTCAATACTAGACTGCAGCAGTAGTGAACCAAAACTTGGAAATTTGAGTTAAAGGGAAATAACTGAGACATCCGGAAGAGGCATGTCACGTGGAACAAGAACAAGTTGCGCCGGTAGTTCGAAATTGCAAGCACCTGAAGAAGGTACAACGGTTGAAACGTTGTGAATATGCCAATAAAGATGAAGATAACAGTCCGAATAATGTAAATAATTTTTTGTTTATAATTTTCTTTTTCTTCTTCTCTCTCCTTTTTTATTCTTCATCATATTTCTTCTCCTTTCTGTCTCTTTCTTTTTCCTCCTCTTTTTCTTCTTTCTTGATCTACTCCTCTTTTCTTTTTCTTCTTTTTTTCCTTTCCTTTCTTTGCCTTCTTCCTCTTCTTCTTTCTCTCTCTTTTCTTCTTCCACTCCTCTTCTTCTTGTCCACTTCTTCTTCCTCTTCCACATTCTCCTCCTCCTCTTCTTCTTCTTCTGCTTTTCCCTCTCCTCTACTTTTTATTCTTCCTCCTCTTCTCTCTCTTTTTCTTCTACCTCTCCTCTTTTTTCTTCTTTCTTGTCTCACTCTTCTTATCTTCTTTTTTCTCCTCTTCTTTTTTTATTTTTCCTCCTCCTCTTTGTCTTCTCTCTCTTCTTATCTCCTCCTTTCTCTCTCTTTTCTTCCTCCTCCTATTTATTCTTCTTTATTGTTCTCCTCCTCCTCTTTTATTCTTCTTGTTCCAAAGTTACTTCTAGTTGTCCTACTCCTTCTTTTCCGCATCCTCCTCCTCTTCTTCTTCCGCATCCTCCTCCTTCTCTTCTTCTTCTGCTTTTCTCTCTCCTCTACTTTTTATTCTTCCTCCTCTTCTCTCTCTTTTCTTCTTCCCCTCCTCTTCTTCTTGTCCTACTCCTTCTTCCTCTTCCGCATCCCCCTCCTCCTCCTCTTCTTCTTCTGCTTTTCTCTCTCCTCTACTTTTTATTCTTCCTCCTCTTCTCTCTCTTTTCTTCTTCCCCTCCTCTTCTTCTTGTCCTTCTCCTTCTTCTTCTTCCGCATCCTCCTCCTCCTCTTCTTCTTCTTTTATTCTTCCCTCTCCTCTACTTTTTATTCTTCCTCCTCTTCTCTCTCTTTTTCTTCTACCTCTCCTCTTTTTTCTTCTTTCTTGTCTCACTCTTCTTATCTTCTTTTTTCTCCTCTTCTTTTTTATTTTTCCTCCTCCTCTTTGTCTTCTCTCTCTTCTTATCTCCCCCTTTCTCTCTCTTTTCTTCCTCCTCCTATTTATTCTTCTTTCTTGTTCTCCTCCTCCTCCTCCTTTACTTCTTCTTGTTCCAAACTTACTTCTCTCTTTAAAGGGTGATTATTTCATCAAAATTCTAAAAGAACGCTTAACAAAATTATGTCTTGCCTCTATTTCTCTTCTCCTTAATGTTAACAGCTGAGAACGGTGCCTACAACAAAAGCCAAAACAAAATGTTACCTTGTTTAAATGTACGCACAAAATGCGTCCAAATCAAATCATTTATATTTCATCATTTGCCGATGCATCACATCCTTAAGCCCCTTCCCAAATAAAGCAAACAAGGCCGGTAGTTATTATTTCACGTTATTTGTCAAGAGCATAATCTTTTTGCTTTTTCCCCAAATGCACTTTTCCGATTATCTCCCTTGACGTTTCTAATTTCCCGCCAACAATTCCAATTTTCCGTTATTTATTAAGAAAATTATTTCATTTCATTTCCAGCTTCTTTTATTTCTTTGTTTATTTCTTCGCGCCTTCTGGCCTTTTTTACAAATTGATGCCTTCGACAGAAACTCAAGTGAATAAATAAATAAATAAATACTGCACTATGTTTTGGTCTGACTTGCAAAAGCATGTTTTTCAAGCGTTTGTCACGACAGGAAAAGCGACTAGGGACGCCATTTTCCAAGCCAACATGTCAGAAATGCATTGTTTTCTTCTCAATGACACCAGGATCGAAAGTGCAAAAGGTAAAAAATATGAACTTCCACAAGAAAAAAGATTAGATAGATAGATAGATAGATAGATAGATAGATAGATAGATAGATAGATAGATAGATATGAAAATAGAACTGAGATAGATAGATGATAGATAGATAGATAGATAGATAGATAGATAGATAGATAGATAGATGAAAAGAACAGATAGATAGATAGATATAGATAGATAGATAGATGATAGATAGATGAATAGATAATGAATAGAAGATAATAGATAGATACAGATAGATAGATGAGATAGATAGATAGATAGATAGATAGATGAATGAGATATGAAAAGAACTGAGATAGATAGATGAATAGATGATAGATAGATAGATGGATGGATGAATGATGAGATAGATAGATAGATAGATGAATAGAAGATGAGATGAGATATGAATAGATAGATAGATAGATGGACTGAGATAGAAAAGAACTAGATAGATAGATATAGATGGATGGATGGATGGATGGATGGATGGATAGATAGATGATAGAAAATGAACTGAGATAGATAGATATGAAAGATGAGATAGATAGATGGATATGATGGATGATAGATAGATAGATAGATGGATGAAAAGAACTGAGATAGATAGATAGATGGATAGATAGATAGATAGATAGATAGATAGATAGATAGATGAAAGAAAATAGAACTGGAGATGATAGATGAGATAGATAGATAGATAGATAGATAGATAGATAGATAGATAGATGAAAAGAACTGAGATATAGATAGATAGATAGATGAGATAGATGATATGATAGATAGATATGGATGAATGAAAAGAACTGAGATAGATAGATAATAGATATAGATAGATAGATAGATAGATAGATATAGATATGAATAGATGATAGATAGATAGATAGATAGATAGATAGATAGATGGATAGATAATGATAGATAGATAGATAGATGAATAGATAGAGATAGATATGAATGAAAGAACTAGATAGATAGATAGATAGATAGATAGATAGATAGATAGATAGATATGATATAGATAATGAATAGATGATAGATAGATAGATATATAATAGAAAGAACTAGATAGATAGATAGATAGATAGATAGATAGATAGATAGATAGATAGATAGATAGATAGATAGATTAAAAGAAGCCAAATTTAAAATTGATGAAACTTCCATGGATAGCTAGGGAGAAATACATTGAAAATGACGGGAGAAAAAATGGAGATATACAAAGAAAATGACGTGGGTGGATGAATGAAAATCTAGAAAGGGAATTAAAAAGACGAAGAGAAAGAGAGAGAGAGGGGTGTGCGGGGGAGAGTGGTCCGTACACACTGAAAAAGATGAATATTTAGTCAGAGTCGAAGAGTAAGAGTGAGATCGAGATAATGCAAAAAGCGAAGAGTAAGAAGCCTGGCAACACAGCAAGTGCGCATGCGTTGTCGATGGGGTCATCCGGTTTGACGCGTACAAAAGGCGATGATTATAGGCAAAGGAGATAGAGAAGCGTGCCGAGGGGTCACAGGAAGGACGTTTGGCCCGGATGTAAATGGATCGCTTTTGCACGTTGACAATGGCTATCTATTTTGTTGGTGTTTTTCTTTCTTTCTTTCTTTCTTTCTTTCTTTCTTTCTTTCTTTCTTTCTTTAACCCCTCAGCATTCTTTTCCATATTTCTTTCTTCTACGTGTTTTTCTTTGTCTTTCTTTATCTACATCTACAGCTTTCTTTCTTTCTTTCTTTCTTTCTTTCTTTCTTTCTTTCTTTCTTTCTTTCTTTCGTTTTCTTCCCATGCAGCTTAACTTTTCTTTGTCTTTTTCTACCCACTCAGCTTTCTATCTTTCTTTCTTTCTCTCTCTCTCTTTCTTTCTTTCTTTCTTTCTTTCTTTCTTTCTTTGTCATACAGCTTTCTTTCTTTTTCTAACCACGCATCATTTTTTTTCCATATTTCTTTCTTCTCTGTGGTTTTTCTTTTTCTTTCTTTGCCTACACATACACCATTGTTTCTTTCTTTTGTTCTTACTTTCGTTCTTTCTTTCTGTCTTTCTTTTTCTACACATACAGCACTTTCTTCCCTTCCTTCTTTGACCATAAAGCTTTCTTTTTCTTTTTCTACCAACCGCGCTTTCTTTCTTTCTTTCTTTCTTTCTTTTTCTAATTACTAAGCATTCTTTTTCACATTTCTTTCTTTCTTCTCCATGTTTTTTCTTTCATTATCTACAGCTTTCCTTCTTTTTATTTCTACCTATATATCTATTTCTTTCTTTCTTTTTCTACCCATACAGATATTTCTTTCTTTCGTTCTCTGCCAATTGTTTTCTTTTTCTTTTTCGACCCACCGAGCTTTCTTTCTATCTTTCTTTCTTTCTTTCTTTATTTCTTTCTTTCTTTCTTTACCCATATACCCCTTTTTTTTCTTCTGCTACCCATACAGCTTTTTTATTTATTTCGTTCTCTGCCCTTCTTTTTTCTTTCTACTCACCGTGCTTTCTTTTCTTTCTTTTCTTTCTTTCTTTCTTTCTTTCTTTCTTTCTTTCTTTCTTTCTTTGTCATAAATCTTTCTTTCTTTCTTTTTCTAACCACTAATCATTGTTTTCCATAATTCTTTCTTTCTTCTCCATGTTCTTTCTTTTTCTTTCTTTGTCTACAGCTTTCTTTCTTTTTCTACCCATATAACTCTTTCTTTCTTTCTTTCTTTCTTTCTTTCTTTCTTTCTTTCTTTCTTTTTTTGCTACCCACCTAGTTTTATTTATTTATTTATTTTGAATATTTCTTTATTTCTTTTCCGTATTTTTATCTTTTCTTTCTTTTTTTTTCCTCGCTCAGATATCTTTGTCGCATTCTTTCAAGCGCCTTTCTCTTTTTTTTTCTTAAGTTTTCTTTCCTTTCTTTTTGAAAATATTTTTTATGTAGATGACTAAAATAATGTTGAAATGTGAGTTAGAAAGACTGTGCAGAGCCATACGCCATCTTGATATTTGAAGGCAAATTTCAAATTTTTTTTATTACTGTTACACCAATGATCCATCATTCAGTCGACTATAACACCAGCGGATGTAAATTAATCAAGAAATCTGTAAGTTGTGCAAAAACATTACTTACTTTGCCTTGCTTCCTACAAAGTCAAATAAATATGAATTCGTTTTATTGATATCGTTTCAGATTATGAAACTATTTCAAAGGTTACAATCTCTAGAAAATTAAAATCATTGCTTTATAATAGCTTGATGTAGTCTATACTAGTCTAAAGGATAATCCGACCCTGGGCCATGGGCCCTGGGACCTGAGCCCTAGGCTGTAGCCTATACTAGCCTAAAGAATAATCCAGCCCTGGGCCTTAGGCTGTAGTCTGTACTAGCCTAAAGGATAATCCGACACTGGGCCATATAATAGCTTAAATGATAATCTCGCCCTGGGCGTTGGGCTTCAGCCTGTATTGACTAAAAGATAATCCGACCCAGGGATCTATAATAGCTTAAATGAAAATCTGGCCTTGGGCGTTAGACTTCAGACTGTACTAGACTAAAGGATAATCCAGCCCTGGGCCTTAGGCTGTAACCTGTACTAGTCTAAAGGATAATCCGATAATGGGTCCTATAATAATTTAAATGATAATCTAGCCATGGGCGTTGCGATACGGCCTGTACTAGACTAAAGGATAATCAGGCACTGGGCCCTTCAATAGCTTAAATGATAATCTGACCATGGGTCCTAGGATGTAGCCTATAGTTGCCTAAAGCATAATCCAGCCCTGGGCATTAGGCTGTAGCCTGTAATAGACCATAGGATAATCCGGGGCTGGGCATAATATTAGCTTAAATGATAATCTGGCCCTGGGCGCTGGGCTTAAGTCTGTACGAGACTAAAGGATAATCCGGCCCTGGGACCTATAATAGCTTAAATGATTATCTAGCCTTGGGTCCAAGGCTGTAGCCTATATTAGCCTAAAGGATAATTCAGACCTGGACCTTAGGCCTTAGGCTGTAGCCTGTACTAGACTAAAAGATAATCAGGCACTGGGCCCTATAATAGTTTAAATAATAATCTGGACCTGGGTCCTAGGCAGTAGCCTGCACTACGCTAAAGGATAATCTGGCCCTGGGCTTCAGACTGTTGCCTGTACTACACTAAACGATAATCCGTTACTGGGCAATATAATAGCTAAAATGATAATCTGGCACTGGGCGTTGGGCTTCAGCCTGTACTAGACTAAAGGATAATCCGACCCTGGGCCCTATAATAAATTAAATGATAATCTGGCCCTGGGCGCTGTGTCCTATAATATCTTAAATAATAGCTTAAATAATAATCTGGACCTGGGTCCTAGGCAGTAGCTTGTACTACGCTAAAGGATAATCCATCACTGGGCGTTAGGCTGTACCCTGTACTAGACCAATGGATAATCAGGCCTGGGCATATAATAGCTTAAATGATAATCTAGCACTCGGCGTTAGGCTTCAGCCTGTACTAGACTAAAGATAATCTGGCCCTGGACCATATAATAGCTTGAATTACAATCTGGCACTGGGCGTTGGGCTTCAGCGTGTACTAGACTAAAGGATAATCAGGCACTGGGCCCTGTAATAGCTTAAATTATAATCTGGCCCTGGGTCCTAGGCTGTAGCCTATACTAGCCTAAAGGATAATCCAGCCCTAGGCCTTCGGCTGTAGCCTGTACTAGACTAAAGGATAATCAGGCCCTGGGCCCTATAATATCTTAAATGATAATCTGGCCCTGGGTCCTAGGCAGTAGCCTATATTAGCCTAAAGGATACTCCAGACCTGGGCCTTAGGCTGTAGCCTGTACTAGACTAAAAGATAATCGGGCCCTGGGACCTACAATAGCTTAAATGATAATCTGGCCCTGGGCGTTGGGCTTCAGCCTGTACAAGACTTTAGGATAATCTGGCCCTGGGCTTTAGGCTGTAGCCTTTACTACACTAAACGATAATCCATTACTGGGCCCTATAATAAATTAAATAATAATCTGGCCTTTGGCGTTGGGTTCTATAATATCGATAATCTGGCTCTGGGTCTTAGGCTTTAGCCTATACTAACCTAATTGATAATCCGGCTCTGGCCCTATAACAGTTTAAATGATAATCTGGCCCTGGGTCCTATACTAGCCTAAAGGATAATCCATCCCTGGTCTTTCGGTTGTAGCCTGTTCTAGACTAAATGATAATCAAGCCTTTGGCCCTAGGCTGTAGCCTGTAGTAGCCTAAAGGATAATCATTACATGATAATCTGGCCCTGGCCGTTTGGGCTTCAGCCTGTATTAGACTAAAGGATAATCCGGCCCTGATATGACATTTCGGATTCAGTCACTTACCCATCGCCTTAATGTATCTTCCCTTTGACTTTTCTTTCATGGTAATTGTTAAGAATTTAAGAACAGTACTTGATTGGCGGTGAGGTCTCTCTCTCTCTGTCCCTCTCTCTCTCTTGTGGATTTCCGGTTTCATGCTTTCCTGCCAACTTTTATCTTCAACAATGTAAATGCAATGTCAATCGTTATCTACTAGCTTCTTGGTTACTCTTTTATTGTTCTCATTTCTTTCCCTATCTTTCACTTTTATCTTATTCTTTCACACTCAGTAACTCTTCATGCCTTAGTGGCTTTACTGCCTTCAATGTGGTGATATGATTTAAAAAAAATTAAATATTTTATTTTACTATCATAGTACCCGTGAATAATGACGAGATTATTTCAATCGGCACTTCTGTCTATGATCGGTGTAGTATCTGTGTGTTCCACCATACAATCCAAGCATAGTTGTCTGGAACTCTGCAAAAAATCAATTCTTAAACGCAGAACGCTTGATATTTGTTTAGTCTGTTTGCTGCTATTATCGGAGGTTCTAATTAGGACGTGATTCCTCTGTTAATCTTATATTTCTGCTCGCTTTATTTACCATGACAGAAATTACAAAATGCAGCATACAAAAAAAAAAAAAAAACTCACACTGTTCATCGTCATCATTATTTCTCTTGATTTCTATTGTATAGACATTTCCTTCCGGGTCCCAACCAGAGACCTAAAATTAGAAATGGCATCATGGCATTTTTGCTAAACATTTTTTAACCTAAGATCATGCACATTTTACATAGATAAAGCCCTTCGTAAGGTGAGACCTTTACCTGTAAGAACATTTTTTTAAACAATTTAAACCTTCTGCCAAACGTCAAAATTCGCAAATAATTTATATGTATTGTTTTACGGTACACATAAAAATAGTTATAAGTGTTTACCCACCGTTCAACCGGTGGGGGACATTAAATGATTTTTCTCTACCACTGTTCAACCCTCAAAAGGTTAAGGGCTACCAGGGATGCCTTCAATGAGTTTATCAGAGTATTTTCCAGTCAACCCGTGGGCTCCAACCATTGGTGCAATTATTGATGTGTTCATGTGCCACTTTCTGAAATTCTTTCTTTTTTGAATTTCAAGATCCTCGTATTTTGACTCGATAACCATTGACCAAGCAAAAGTACGGAAGGACAGCTCGCTATTATTCCTTAAATGTTAATATCTCCCCAATATTCCTTCCTTCCGTTCTTCTTTCTTACCTTTCTCGCCTCCCTTCCTTTCCCATCTTTCTTTTTTTTCTTTTATTTGTTTGTTTGTTTGTTTGTTTCTATCTTTCTTTATTTATTTATTTCTTTCTTTCTTTCTTCCGTTTGTTTGTTTCCTTCCTTCCATTCCTATCTTTCTTTCTTTCTTTCTTTTATTTGTTTGTTCGTTTGTTTCTTTCTTTCTTTCTTTCTTTCTTACGTTTGTTTGTTTCCTTCCTTCCTTCCATTCCTCTCTTTCTTTCTTTCTTTCTTTCTTTTATTTCTTTCTCTCTTTCTTTCTTTCTTTCTTTCTTTCTTTCTTACGTTTGTTTGTTTCCTTCCTTCCTTCCATTCCTATCTTTCTTTCTTTCTTTTATTTGATTGTTTGTTTGTTTGTTTCTTTCTTTCTTTTTTGCGTTTGTTTGTTTCCTTCCTTCCTTCCATTCCTATCTTTCTTTCTTTCGTTCTTTCTTTCTTTTATTTGTTTCTTTCTTTCTTTCTTACGTTTGTTTGTTTCCTTTCTTCCTTTCATTCCTATCTTTCTTTCTTTCTTTCCTACTTTTATTTGTTTGTTTCCTTCCTTCCTTTCCTATCTTTCTTTCTTTCACACTTTTATTTCTTTGTTTGTTTCCTTCTTTCTTTCATTTCATGTTTTATGCTTTTTTCTTCTTTCTTTGTGTGCTTTTACTTTTCTTTCTTTCTTTCTTTCTTTTAATGCCTTTTTCTTACCTTTCTCGCCTTCCTTTCTTCGTTTCCTATCTTTCTTTCTTTCTTTTATTTATTTGTTTGTTTCTTCCTTCCTTCCATTCCTATCTTTCTTTCTTTTGTTTGTTTCTTTCTTTCTTTCTTTTTTCTTACATTTGTTTCTTTCCTTCCTTCCTTCCATTCCTATCTTTCTTTCTTTCTTTCTTTCTTTCTTTCTTTCTTTCTTTCTTTCCTTTCCTATCTTTCTTTCTTTCACACTTTTATTTCTTTCTTTCTTTCATTTCATGTTTTATGCGTTTTTTTCTTTTTTTTCTTTTCACGCCTTACGTGCTTTTACTTTTCTTTCTTTCTTTCTTTCTTTCTTTCTTTCTTTTTTTTTTCTTTCTTTCTTTTTAATGCCTTTTTTAATGGCTTTCTCGCCTTCCTTCCTTCCTTTCCTATCTTTCTTTCTTTCTTACTTTTATTTGTTTGTTTGTTTGTTCCTTTGTTCCTTTCTTTCTTTCTTTCTTTCCTACTTTTATTTGTTTGTTTCTTTCCTTCCTTTCCTATCTTTCTTTCTTTCTTTTATTTGTTTCTTTCTTTCTTTCTTTCTTTCCGTCTTTCTTTCTTTCCTACCTTTCTTTCCTTCCTTCTTTCCTTTTCTACCCCTTGTTTTCTTTTG